TGATTCATTCACAGCTAATTTGGGATTATTCAGATAAAAATATCAATCATTTGACAGCATTAATATATTTGTTATTCCTAGAACTGTACACAGGAACATGTCATCATTTCTGACTTAATGAATAGATATTTTGTCCGGAGATGGATTTACCTAAGGAGCTGAGCCTGAAGGACAGGCAGCTGCTTTCTGTCCTCCAGCCTCTCTTCCCCCTGCTGTTGAGTGCCTGCATACAGCCAACTTCTGTCATTAGAACACGGAGCGTCGACTAAAACCTGCGACCCAATGAAATGTGAGCAGATAAAAAGAAATTCAGAAAGTTCTAGATAAGTTAAAGTCAACACAGAGAAAATGAGAAAAATCATCTTTAAACAGACAGCCACGATAACGGCAGACGAAACGAGAAAAGAATGACCAACTATTATTGGCGGTAAAAATGATCAAATCTCAAAAAATAAATAAATAAAACGTAAAATAATTTTTTAACTTTCACATTTCAGCTTGTACCCTCTGAAGAAAATGACTTATCCCTCTTAAAGTAACTTCACTCTGTTTTATTGCTTAGAAAAATGATCACAATTATAACAGTTTACAGTTTAGTTCACCTTCTGCTCTTTTATTTTTAATGTGTGTTTATTTTGTTCTGACAGATTTAAATCTTCCTCACCTTTAATAACCTTTATTCTGTGTCTGTTTGTGCTTTAAACTTTAGARGCAACTTAGTGGAAATAATTGCAACAATTAGTTTTATATTCTTCAGAAGTTTTAGCTGTGAAAATTGTAAAATCGTTCCACATATAGACCTTCAAATCCATTTTGCCCTTTCCCAAACTTTCTTTTTTTTATTTGTTCTGCCATTATTAGTCATTTTGAGTTCCTGTCAGCTATTTCTCTTTTTCATCTCAATTGTCTTTAATAAACTTTTTTTTCTTTTCTGTGGAGGGATTCTTAGCCTCACTTCAAAAGGCTCACACTTTCGTCACTGTGGCTTTTGAAAACAACAGTCCATCACGTTAATTTGTTGGCAACAGAAAAGAAAATTCAATTACAAGTTTCTGTGAACACAACAGGGAAGTCTTACCCACCTTGTCATAAAAATCGGCCTTGTCGTTCCCAAAAGACCGCCCGTCCTGCGTGGACACGACCACGCTGCTGCTCAGTGAGCAAGGCAGGAAAGAGTCCAGGGTTTCGACCAGCCAGTCCCGTCTGTGAGGTTGCGGTTCATTACAGCAGAGAAGTGCTGGAAAGCAGCGAAGGCACAATTACTGATTACTCATGGATGATAAAGGAGAAAAAGGGCTTGTTGCAAATAAATATAGTCTCTCAATGAGGTTCAGCAACAAAGAGAGTAAAGAGTGTACAGGTGGTATTATTTTTCAAAATAAAAGACATTTTGACATGATTAGATTTTTTTTAAGTTCTGGTCAAACACTGTTACCTGAAAAAAAAAGTTATTTAAAGTGTATCTTACCCCCCCCCCGTACAAAGATAACTCCGCCCCAAGGCGAAATTTGAAAAATGCATCAAAGTGGGTAGGGGAGTGGGGGTTAGAGAGCGGAGGTGTGGCCAGGACGAGAGAATGCGACAGGCAGCTAGCATTAGCATAATTGATGCTACATGGAAAGTGACCACAGTATCGCAGATATTTACATCTCTGAACGGTCTGCTGCGGACATGAAAGTGCCTGCTGCGACAGAGATACAGATATATATATATATATATATATATATA